CAATATGTTATATATGTATATATCTTAAAATAATGATAATATACAATGTATAATATATATATATATATATATGTATGTATGTATGTATGTGTATAAAACAATAATAATTAAAAAAATAATATGTTATTGTTGACTTTGACATTTGATGGGAACAAAATAACTCCAAATTCCAAAAGCAAAAGCATTTCACATGCCATTAGCATTTCCCTATTTTTTTTTACCAAAAAATATTATTTTTTAAAAAATATATTATATTTGTTCAAAAACTTTTACTTGAGCTGTAAATATATTAAGTCAATTAGATCTTTTGAATTATTTATTAATATAACAATATTAAAAAATTGTAGATCACAATTTATTTCGTTAACATTTTAGAGAGAACTTTAAAAGATATGTATTTTTTTGAACAACATAAAATAAGAAGTGTTTTACCTTTTTTTTACAAACAAAATATATCTCGAAAGTAATGTATCATATTTATTTAAGAAATATTTTACTCTAAAATATTTAATTTGCATGCAACTTAATAAGAAAAAGTCAAAAAAGTTAAATGTTTTTTTAAATCATAGCAATGAAAAATGAAAATCATTAATAATAATTTGAAAATCTATGCACTCTTTTTTATTTGTGATTTCATGGTGGTGACACTCTACCGCTGAGTTATATCCCTTTCCTGCCCCCATCGAGAAATAGAACTGATGCTTTATTACACAACTTTTTTCTGAGATGACTTATAAACCTTACATATTGGAATTATATATCATCAATATTCTTTTTCTTTTATTTTTTAGTTAAGTTATCGAAATGATGTGTCATCAACATCATCTTATTAAAACCACACAAGCAAAAAAAGTTAAGGGGTTAACCGGTTTAAAAGGTAACATGTTACTCATTGCTATAACGGGTATATTTTTTAAAGTACGATGCCTTAATAAAAAATAATTTGAAAGTACATTGTTGTAATAAAAAAAAACAAAAGTAGAATGCTATAGTAAAAAAATTATGAAAATAAGTTGTTATTTCATGCACTTTAACTCTTTTCAGTTTGTCCTAAAACAAGTGTCCACCTTTAAGCATATTTTCCAACTTTATGAGACAGAGTAATTGATTACTACCGTTGTTATTTGGTTAATCTGGTTAAATAAAAAGTATATTAATCACACAATTATAAGACTAAGTACTTTTTTGTTTTGTTTTTGGTAGACTGTTATTTTTTTGGGACACAGGTACAATACAACAAAATCGGAATTATGAGACGCTAAAAAGGTCAAAGTGTCCTAATAAACCACATTTTAGGACCAAACAATAAAACTTCCTGTATAAAAAGTGTTCCAATAAGTTTATAGATATAAACCGTTTGCATGAAATTGTTGTATCAGAGTTTCAGATATTTATCTGTTTATAAAAACAAACAATCTTATTGATTATGTTTTCAGACTTAAGCACCATCTCTTATTATTCAGAACTGAAATAAGATTTCAAACTTCAACATCTCTTAAAAAACAAACAACACCTTAAGCTTTTAACAAGTTCTTTAGAACATTTTTAAAATAAAGTGTCTATTCACTATTTTATATGACACTTTTGAGAAATGTCATATAAACACATCTTTTTATTGGACAATTGTGTTTATAGGACATTTTTTAAAATTATGTTTTATAAAATAGCTAATATGAGACTTTTTTTAAGAATATCATAAAACACTTGTTAAGACGTCAAACATCGTCCTATAAAATTATTGTAACACTTTTAGATATGACATTTTATTGTTTGTTCCTATAAACTTCTCTTGCTGTTATTGTCAGGGCCCATGAAATTAGTTGAGATACGTACAAACTGGCCTAAACACTCACAGTTATCTAACAACACGTAAGCCATAATAGATATGATGGAGTTCTCACAAGTGGCAATAATAAAGCTCATTTAAATGGTCTAATATATGCTCTTAGTAGGAGTATCATCATCACATAAGATTTTTTAGTGTACTTAGTGGATGCTTTTGAGTCTAACTAGAAGGGTACTCGCGTAATGCAGCGAAATATATCTCGATTTTAATGTTTCATTTTATTCATTTTCTCTGTCGATATAATACGGTTTTACGCGGTTTTACGTGGTTTTAGAAAACGATAATATTTTTATTTTGGACGAAATATAAATTCGAAAACAAATATGTCAATATTAGTATTAAATTAACTATTTAAAAATTCTCGCTTTATACGTAATTTCTTTAATTCAAAATTTTATTATAATTTAATTTAGATTTAATAATAAAGTAATTTATTTTTGTTTAATAATATAATTTTTATAAAGATGATACTTAAGTATTATGTTAAAATTCAATGATTATCCTAATTATATATTAATTTTTTATATTTAAAATAAGATGTTTATCTTGTATTTGATTATGTTTATCTGCAGTTAGTTACAAGAATTAAAAAATAAGGCTTTAATAAGTTGTACTTATGCATAATTTACTTGTAATATTGAATTTTAAGTAATATGCATCAATACACAATACTTCATACATAAAATATTATTTTTAAGAGTTTTTGTCAAATATTTTATAATATAGTATATATAATCAGATTCCTCATAATGTTGTGTCACAAGTCACATGATAAATACCATGTATTATGCCATCATTATTGAGGTGACTCTTTTTTATGACCCCTCCATGATATTAGACCTCTTGAACGGGAAAATTTATCAAAAATGTGGATTTCTTGTCATCCTTGCACTCGACGAAACCACAACAAGGGTAAAATGGTCATTTTTATCATTCAGATAGTTTATTCAACACAAGTAACAAACAATAATTTAGCTTAATCCATAGAGACAATTTGACCCGTACACACAACTTCATCGATACAAGCTTAATGGAAAGACAACTAAGCAACCCCTTAGTGCCTTGTAAGTAGTTGAATGCTCTCTTATCGCTTTCCAGTAACTTTCACTGTAATTGCTACTCTCAAGTTTTTCTTTAAAGTATATATATATTATTTTTATAAGAAAAAACTCATACACACTTCTCATCTTTGGTGAGATTTAAACCCTTGACCTTGTGGAAGGTTTGGTTAGTATTCCAGTAATTTTCACTGTATTTTTCCTGGTCTTTTTTTTGGCGGCTATTTTGAGTGGGTCGTTTGGTTTGGATTGGGACCCAAGATACTTTTGTTTGACCCAAAGTTCAAGCCTTTTATTTGACCCAAACGTTAAGATTTTTATTGAGTTAAAACCTAATTCAAACCTATTTTGTACATGAGGAGGGTATTCGTGTAATGTATCGAGACACATTTCGATTTCAATGTTTCGTTTTATTTTTTATTTATGTCGATATAATACGATTTTATGTCGTTTTGAAAAAACAATAATGTTTTGATTTTTGAATAAAATATAAATTTGAAAATATCATATAAAATTTGTAAAAAAAATATTAATATTAGTATCAAATTAACTATTTAAAAGTTCTTATTTGTATATTTTTTTTAATTCAAAATTTTTATTATAATTTAATTTAACGAAACGAAGTAACTTAATTTAGGTTTAATAATATATTTTTTATAAAGATAATTCTGTTAGAACTCAATAATTATCCTAATTATATTTTAGATTTTTTATATTTTAAAATGAGATGTTTATTCTCTATTTGATTATGTTTATCTGCAGTTAGTTACACGAATTCAAACATAAAGCTTTTAATAAATTGTACTTATGTACAATTTACTTGTAATCTTGAATTTTAAGTAAAATGCATCAATTTATAATATAGTATAGATATATATTTTATGAACATAATCTTTTTACCGCTATACCGTCACGATAACCGCAATTTCAAATCACGGTCCTGACCGCGATTTCGACCGCGTTAACTGCTTAGCTCTCAAGTATTTGACATGCAGTGTCTCGACTTCTGTACGAAATGGATAATAGAATGGTACCACATGGATTCTTTATAGGTATCCTATCAAAGAACAGCTAATGATCTTGGCTAATTTCCATATCGTCGGGTTGACAACAATAGCTTAATTCGTACTTAGTTTGCCAAAGTGGTCTATGTTGTAGATCTCATCGAACCCCATAGCGACAAGCCTCACATTACACCTTCCCACACCGTTTTGGTCTCTTGGCATCCCACGTACTTAGTTATACATGATCTGTTGCGATGATGAGGTTGAATGATTGCAAGAACGTGTGACGACAGGTATGCCGAGATCCCAGATGGGGAAGATGCTACGAAAGTTTCAGTGAAGACACACAAACTGTTCGTAAAATGACCTCCATGGTTACAGGTTTACAAGGACAACCACCCGAAGGATACCCCAAGAACTACCCTTTTGTAGGCGGAAGGTATACGAGTTTTTTTCTGAATCTTGTGGTTTTGTTTTACGTAATCGATATGCGTTCACTTGTAACAGAACCAACGTCGTTGCATGTGCGAAGCATTTTGTTGGAGATGGTGGTACCGAAAAGGGTGTGGATGCTGGAAACACCAAGTTATCGTATGAGGATTTAGAGAGAATCCATATGGCTCCGTACGTTGACTGTATTTCGCAGGGTGTTTGCACGGTCATGGCTTCTTACTCTAGTTGGAATGGCACCAAACTCCACGAGAGCCATTTTCTGCTGACGGAAACTCTAAAAGAGAAGCTTGGATTCAAGGTTAGACCAAGTGTTCACTTGTAGAAATCATGCCTAGAATCTGTGATCATCTACAGAAACTGCCACCCGTTTCATATGGTTTTAATGGGGATCGCCCCCCACATGTCCGGATCGCCCCCAGGGGCGATTTGGGTGGATATTTTCGCAATTTCGTTTAGAAATGGTTATTTTCTTAATATAGGAGGTATAAATTGGTTATTTTCGTGATTTTCCCATAAATTAATCTGTTGTAATCCGGTTTGAATTTTAGTCACTATTTGACATAAGGCAACATCTTTTTTTGCATCAGGGTTTTGTAATCTCTGATGCTGAAGCACTTGATCGGCTTTCCGATCCTTATGGATCAAATTATCGAAAGTGTGTTTTGTCAGCCATTAATGCAGGGATCGACATGGTAGAGGCTTTAATCTAAGTACTACTTTTTTGCAACTTCTTGTTTTTCCTTTTGTTTATAACATCTCAGGCTAACCATATCAGATATTATCCGTTTTATCCACACCTAGACTCACGAACCGATTTGGGATCGAAAAACTTATTAAGACTATTGTAGGTGATGGTGCCTTTTCGTTACGAGTTATATCTAGAGGAGTTGACACATCTAGTAGAAACTGGGGAGATACCAATAAGCAGGATTGATGATGCTGTTGAGCGGGTTTTACGAGTGAAGTTTGTTGCTGGACTTTTTGAATATCCCTTCAGCGATAAAGCTTTGTTAGATTCAGTTGGTTGCAAGGTACGTTCATCAGAAACCTTTTAACATATTCGCAGTACATATCGAGAGTGATAATGCATTAGAATCTTTTCACATCTCTAGAATATATCTGATCTCCAGGAAACAAGTATAGCTTCTCCAATTAATCCCTTCATACAGATGTAAATTTCACTGGTCCGTAGCCTATTATACGTTAAGTCAATCAGCATTCGTTTTCTGTACGGAAAATAGAGAGCTTGAAAGCCCATATACAATTCACTTTTTCGGACTTGTTGCTGCAGCGACACAGAGGCATAGCACGTGAAGCAGTTCGCAAATCGCTGGTCCTTCTGAAGAATGGTAAAGATCCAAAGAAGCCGTTTTTACCGTTAGACAGGTATGCTAAAAGAATTCTTGTAGCTGGAGCTCATGCTGATGATCTTGGCTATCAATGTGGAGGATGGACCATGACATGGGAAGGAAAAAGTGGCAGAATTACTGCAGGTAATGCACCCTTCTTGTAGTAAATTGACGGTAATTGTTTTGTGCCACCACTGTAAAAATCTGGGTGTTAACTGTTAAACACAAGGCCTGAATTAATGAATTTATAATTTTTCTAGGCACGACGATTTTGGACGCTGTAAAGGAAACCGTGGGAGATAAAACAGAAGTGATATACCATCAAAATCCGTCACCAGAAACCTTGGATAATCAAGATTTCAGCTTCGCCATCGTGGTGGTTGGCGAAACTCCCTATGTGGAGGCGATGGGTGACAATTCAGAGCTCACGATTCCACTCGACGGAGACAAACTAATAACCTCGGTTGCCAGTAGATTGCCGACACTGGTGATCCTAATATCTGGAAGGCCTTTAGTTCTAGAGCCTGAGGTTTTTGGAAATACGGATGCTTTCGTGGCTGCTTGGTTGCCTGGCAGTGAAGGAGGAGGAATCACGGATGTGATATTTGGTGATTACGAGTTTGAAGGGCGACTGCCGATGATGTGGTTTAGGAGAGTCGAACAACTGCCGACAAGTGCTGAAGAGAATAGCTATGATCCTCTTTTCCCCTTTGGCTTTGGTCTAAAGAGCAAGCAGGTTAGCCTGTAAAATGCATCTTCTTGCATTAAGCTTGTTACTATAAATTGCACTTGACAGTTGGCAACTTTTTCCAAGTCTTATCTTCATAAATGCAGTACTCAGCAATGGGTGCCAGAGCTGGATTTTGGGCACCATCTGTGGCATCCATTGCTTTTCCACCCAAAAGCTTGACTGATAGAGGCTACCTTTGTCCTCTTTCTTGCATCATTTTGGTAACTGTAGGTGTTTGGGCCTGCTTGTGCATGCTTCGACTAATCCCATGCGTTTGGTTCGCCTATGGAATGGAATTGAATTCCACACATTCCACAATGGATTTGGTCATTCCATCACAATTGAGAAGGAATTCAATTCAATTCCATCCCATTTTTTTCAAAAGACAAAATTATCCCCATCTTCATTCGAACCAAACGAGCAGTCAAATTCTATCCCAATTTCTTCAAAGTTAAATACCTTTAACAGATTACATTCCTTCAGAAAATATTTTGCGAACCAAACGTCCCCAAGAGATACGGTCATCGGGAATCACCTTCCGTATAGTGACAAAGAATCTGAATGTTTACGGGGAATAGTGAACGGAATTTAATACTTAGTCGTCGTGTCGAAAGTGCATGTTTGTGGTGCTACTTATATAGCATCAATCTGTGGTTCAAGTCCAATGAGGAACAAAAATCTTCTTGTGATCACGGAGGTTCAAATGCGGTGACTCCGGGTAATCTGCAAAGCAGGTGGTCATCTTGGGATTAGTCGGCTCGCATAGCGGGTTGGATATCGAGGTTAATAAAAAAAAAACTGTGTGGGTATCTTTGTATGCCTTGTTTGTTGATCAAATTTAGAATAAAGCAGCATATCACATATCCCTTTTTGTTCTCCACCCTTTTCCAAATCCAAAATCAAACGTATATTCCAACCCAAAGGTAGGGTCTGGAAAATATAAGACGTACACAAATCTGACCTCTAAACCAAAGAGTGAAACGGTTGTTTCCATGAAGATTCGAGAGAGAGTCAGATAAGATATAGTTTTAAATAGCTGATTGTAATCAGCAAATTCGAAACGAGGTCTTGTTGTTGCAGCTGGTTTGATAATGAGAAAGTAGAAAGTGGTTAGTTTTGTCATTTTACCATTCTTTGGTTTATAGATGGTTTATATATATTTTTATACTATATTATAAAGCATTTGATGAAAACTCTTAAAAACTAATCTTTATGTATAAAATACTGTTAATTAATGCATATTACTTAAAATTCAAGATTACGAACCGTCGGAAAATAGAAAATAGTCATTCAACTTCATTTTTTTTTTTCGTTGATTCTTTTTGTAAAAACTCTAGGAAGTCATTTTTCTCAATCATAGAAATAAGAATCAACGAGAACCATCAAGTATTGAGTCTCATTTTCTCGTTTAAATTTTCGGTTTTTAACCCACTCAAAAATCTGTTAAAAACTCAAAATCAAACCGTTTAAATTAAAATCTGAGATACAAGGCTATTAAGGTTTGATAGATGACTTAAAAACAAAGACATATTTGGCTTATTAGTTGAAAAATCGAGCTCTAACAACTGCCATGGAAAGGTCTCCATCAAAATCTGATTTGAAACAGTTCCGTCTTTTTGGCAGAACAGGTCCTCCAAGTTTTTGAAATATAATAATCGCCCACCCAAACTTTCTAATAAATACATTAAGCTCCCTGGTCTTATTTATAACTTATCACTTTAATTAAATGGCATATTAGACCCGTTTAAAAACCTTTCTTCACATTTTTAGTCCACGAAAATTAAAAACTAATTCTTTTTTCCATTTTCATATTTATTTATTGAACCTTTTTTGGGGTGTGACAATATGCAAGGATGAATTTTTTTTGGTAAATAAACTCTATGAGTTGCATAATATTAATTCTTTTATTTTATTTTATTTATAATTTTTTAATTATATCATTTTAAAAATATTAAAATGACACACGAAATTTGAAATACCATTTTTTGTAATAGTGATTACGTTTTTAAGTCATTTTATAAATATCTCGTTCATTTTTCAAGTCATTATATTTTTAGCATCGTTTTGGGTCTAATAATGCAATTAGTAAAAATAATTTAAAATTTCATCAAACCTTGTATTAATATTATGATCTTGAGTTAATGAAAATTTGGTCCCTATGGTTTACGTAATTCACTGATTAAGGTCCTTAAAGCTAACATATTTTAATTAACTGTGTTATTTTGAATAAAATATAAAATTTAAGATATCATAAAAATTTGAAAATATATATCTCGATATTAGTATTAAATTAAGTATTTAAATGTTATCGTTTATAAAACTTTTTTTAATTCAATTTATTTTATTAGAAATTTAAATTTAATTTAGGTTTAATAACAAAGTAATTTATTATTAATTTAATAATATAATATATTATGTAAAAATAATAATCAAGTATTTTGTTAAAACTTATTGATTATCCTAATTATATTTTAATTTTTATATATTTAAAAATGAGATAATTATTATGTATTTGATTATATTTATCTGCAGTTTGTTACATAAATTCAAAAATAAAACTTTAATAAGTTGTACTTATGTACAATTTATTTGTAATCTTAACTTTCACACAATATATATCAATAGACAATATTTATACATAAAAAAGTAATGTTTAAGAGTTTTTGTTAAATATTTTATAATATAGTTTCGATAAAACAATAATAATAATAATAAATAAAATATATTACATATTTGATTGATTTTTATATTTTATGGTTTTTGGCGAGAATTAAATTTTGGGAAAAGTTCAAAAAAACCCAACGGACTTTACTGTTTGGAACGATTAAGTTTTTGAACAATTTTTTTAGAACAAATAAACCCTTGGACTTTACAAAACCTGTTAAATAAGTCCTTGAACTTTCTAAAATATGTTAAATACATTTTGTTAGTGAAAAAGGTACGAAAAAACAATGGATTTTCATATTYTGAACGATCAAGTTCATAAATATTTTTTGAACGATCAAGTTCATAAATATTTTTTGAACGAAAAAAGTACTTACATTAAAAAAAACAAATATACCATTCTCATTACTATTCGTAAAATATACAAAAGTTATATCCAAAGCATAATAATCTGCATACAAATTTTGGACATAATTTTACCAAAAAACTAATGAACTTTTATATTTTGAATGTTTTAGTCCCTAAACATTTTTTAACCAAAAAAATACTTCAATTTATAAAATGAAACAAATATCATTCTCATTACTCTTCTCAAAAGATACAAAAGCTGTACCCAAAGCATAAATAATTTGTATACAAAATTTGAGCATTTTACCAAAAGTTGAACCAAGATATATACCAAAAGTCGCACCAAAAAATACAAACAATCACCCCAAATATACCAAAAGTTGCGCCAAAAATACCAACTATTGTGCCAAAATATATCTTAGGTTGTGCTAAAATATACCAAAGTAACACCTAATCTATGTTAAAGTCGTGGGATGAACAATTCTTCATTTACATCATTAATTTCTGGTGGAGATACAACCATTTGACTTTTTTGTAACCCTTCTTGAGGTCTAAAACATCATCCCTTTCATAATGCTCTTCATCACCAATAGTAATATCACTTTCATCACAGTCTTCATCATTAACAGCAAACTCACTTGAAATTGAATACAACAATCTATAGAACATTCTGGAGTACAGATCAATGCCAAGAAAGTGACTTCAAGAATTTTGAATTTTATAAGCATGAACTAAAACACCATAAACAGTAACTTGACTTGGTGCCATACCAGCAATGAGGGCATTGTGTTGGTCAATCACAGTGCAGGATCAATACTCTGAATGTCTCTAGGGCAAAGACCTGCTATGAAAAACCTCATTTAAGAAGTGGCAATGCAGATAAAGTAACCCCGAAAATCTCAGCCCAGTTGTTATGAATGTATCAACAGAAAACCACAAGGATTAAAAAGGAAAAAAATACAATCAGGATGAGCATGCATGTGCTTATGAAGACAGCTGGAACATCAAGGATTTATGAGAAATCACATGGGCTCGTCATAAGTGCTACATTGAAAAAGAAAGTGCAAGTAGCAGTTAAAACTTTATGCAGCAGAAAATTCAACAGAAGTTAGTGGTCAGGTTGAAGATCGAAGAGAAGAATTGGGGTTGTTTCTATATTGGCATGCTAAGAGTTCAAAATTCATGGTGGTTATCTTTAACTTGGGTTGGGGATTAATCTTAAACAAGAACGATACAATAAAAAGTTTGTGCAATACTCAATCAATTCCACCTGTTTTTATAATGTGGCATACAAGTAACACACCTATCAAGAAGGCAAATTTAACAGTTCATTTAACAGACTGTATTAGAAGGCAAACACTTTTACCTTTCRGCTCATCTRTGACTGTACACAAATAACMTTGTTGATTAAGATATCAGTTAACATATTCACATAAGAAGATAAAAGTTCCTAAAAAGCTATGATGTTCCCATACTATGGAAAAGATGATCATATGTAAAATAAAAAATGATTCACCACCAGATAAAAGTTTGCATTAAAGCCATAAGTTATG